ATCATTAAGGGCCTCATCGACGTCTGGATCCTTGCCTTCACGCTTCCGTTTTTGGGAAGTACCTCGTCGTCCTTCACATTGTGCCCATTCTTCTCGCAGATGTTTCTCTTGTTTTATCAGGCACGATATTGTAGATTTTGCCAAGCAGGTAATTTCCACCAATCGACGCTGACTAGTGGTTAGTCCCTGTTCCTTGATCTGATCTAGGAAACGAATCTTCTCAGCTAACGTCAAGTCCCGTCGTGGCATTTTCTTAACATGCAACAAGACACGCACAGTTCACTGAGGTGAACTCGAGTCTGTCTCCCGGGTATTTCTATGGTTGACCTAGCCACCTGCTGTCCTGTGATTTGCCGGATCTGTGTCCCCGATCACTTGCCGTGCTCGAGAGTAGGCCCGCAATGCGGGTTAAGGGCATTCGGCTCAATGGACGTGCGGTACATCGATCGAGCGGTTAACGACATGTGAACAAGCATGTATGTCTTCGCTCCGCCTACAAGTGTTGGAAACTACAGTCAGTTTCGGGCAGTTCTGAAGCCAATTAGATAGATGTGCCTCAAGGTTGTCACAGTTCAGTTTATCCAAAAGCCAACTCGGATTACGGTAACTGAACGATACGCTTTCTTGCCCGACATATGAACTGTGGGTTTAGTCTAGACATGCAGGCACAGAACTTCATTTTAACACCTCTGTTACCTGCCACCTTCTATCGTCTGGTCCGATTAAGCGGAATTCCGGTCCTAATATGCGGTTAAAATTAGGCTAGCGTAATAGGATTCGTTTCGGTTCTTCAGAATTTGGCCCAAATAAGCGGCTCGTCCTATTAACCGGAAACGAAGATTATATATATATATATATATATATATATATATATATATATATATATATATATATATATATATATATATATATGCTTATCTTTCCCATATAAATGCCCTAGTTATACTCTCTTCTATACACTTGCACACGTCGCTTAAGCCAATTATAATCGATTTCAGTAGCATTTTTGTGTTCGTGGCATCCCGTAAAGTATACTTTCTGACATCGTGAACTTATCTAGGATTCGTTTGTAAACAACTTATTTCATATGCTCATTAACTTAAAGTTTATGTCACCGTTTCCTTATGCATTAATCGAGTTATTTTCTTTCTCTCTCTCTCCCTCTCTCAAGTGATTGGCTGCTGTTTGATATCCACCGTGTGGCTGAGCTTGATGCGCATGTTGACAAGGTGTCTACCTGTCTGTTACCCACTACCTCCTTCATACTAGCTTCAGAAGACCGTTGGTCGTTGCTGGAGGGGACGGGGTGCACGGTCCTTGTGGCCGTGCTAGTCTCAAAAATCGGTTCCATGCACTCAGTATGGAGCGGACTACAGTCCAGCCGCCGCCTTGTGTGAGCTTGATTCCCCATATACAGCGTGCTTGTGTTTGCCTATGAAGGAGTGTAGGCCGACTTCGTTGATGAAACGTGACTCCCACCAACGTGCCTCCCGGTCTTATTCCTTCGGGTTTACACTGAATATAGGGTGTGTGGTTGCAGCTGTGGGTGGTGCAGCACAAGCCACCCATGGTCCCTTTGTAAGCGCAGGCGTCCTGTGGCTGACCACAATGACAAGCAAATCCGAAACCGGATGCCGTCAATCAAATATATATATATATATATATATATATATATATATATATATATATATATAACTAGGCATTTATATGGGAAAGAAAAGCATAGACGCCAGTTGCAGGGAGCTCTAAATCTACCTCCGCGACATAGGACGGAGTGGATTGGGACAGTAGGAATCCCCTATAAAAAGGGAACCTCGGAAGTAATCAGGCGAGTACTAAACATGGAGAAAATAAGTGGTTTTTCAAAAGGGTCAAACGCTCAGTTCAGAACTAGTGAGTTTGAAGGATCCAGTCCCAAGACATAGGACGACCAATTGCGTTTATAGAATCAGTTGCAAAGACTGTGAACACGTGAATATAGGTCAAAGAGGGAGCTACGTAGGATAGCAGAACAAAAGAGGCACATTATGAGTCCACCGAGAAATGAGCCTGAATACAGGGCCCTACTAAGAGATTCAGAGGTGGCCGTATATGCGCTAGACGCGGGACAAGAGATTGACTGGGACAATGTCGAGATACTTAGGCGAGGATTACGAACAAAAAGCCAAATTTTTATTGCAGAGGCGACTGATAACTGTAAACAGAACGGACGGGGTGGAGCTATCAAATGCCTGACGGGCTGTCTTAACCAGCCAGTTAGAAAAGGTTTCGGCCGATGAACTCAGATCAGAGTGTGAATCAGCAGCCGCAGGAACAGGGGATGCCTCACATGCGAACGACCAGTGACGCAGATGAATGAGAAACGCTTGATGCTTTTTGTTACACCAAAATGGCCACTTGACCAGTTGACCTGTAAGACTATTATCCAATGATTCGTGTTATTCCTTGCAATCTTCACGCTACTTTCCCATAAAATACTAAGCCAATTGTGTACCGATTTACCTAGATGTCAAAAACGAAATGTTATCACAATAAAAACCTACAAAACCCAAAACCTTCTGAAATCATGAGATCCCAATCGGTTCCAAGCGTCTTCCGAGATATCGAATTATTTTTCCTAACTTTGTAACCTGAGCGATCAGGCACGATTCCGTTCCACATCTCCCTATAAAGAAGAGGCCTCATTAAGCGATCAACAGTGAAGCTTGGAATACGCGAATGGTAGGATCCTAGTTTAGCTACAACCAGCTGCCATGTACCCGTTGATGAAGACCGATGAAGTGCGCCGAATGCCTGACATATACTAGTCACAGTTCACATAATCTTGCAAGGGGGGACTGTTGGCGTAAGATATTGTGGTGCATATTGATAATTTGCGTCACAATAAATTCAAAATGATCACTCTAATTGCAGGGGAGAGCTTATCAAGATAGACATAAACTTGACAAAATATTCAAAGTTTGAAAGGAAACTAAATAAAAGGAAAACGGACTGAAGACCCTGATTGGTTCCCCGAGTTGATTAAATCGAGTGCGGACGTTCCGTCACCAATCGAGGGACATCCTTAGTGCGCAATAGTAAGTAGCTCGTTAGCAAATACTGAACCTCTAGCAAATGGGTAAGAACACTGATACAATGTGATACCCAACACACCATCGAAATACGCTGCATGGATAGTGCACATGGGTTATTAGGTCAAAACCACATGCAGTTAGTCTGGTACGCTACAAGAAAGTTGGCGCTACGTGGATGAAAGATTTTGGCCAGATAAAAGCCAACGCCTTGACGAAAGCACGCGTCGGAAGACCAACAACCAAAACGAGGAAATTAGTGTGAAAATCGATGCATATTTATAGGTCGAGTTAGGAATGCTCACAGATAGGTCAGCCGCTTAAAACCGATACGGGCGGCCAACGCTGTCCTCTGCAAAGTACTTAGCTTCCATCACAGTGAAAGATGACTAACACACTACATTGCAATTAGATTATCAGTTATGACGGTCTGTGGACGCCATCCACACCTCAGTGGCATAAGTCATAGGCATTGAATAGTGACGAGTTCGGTTGTTGGAGGCTGGGAGATAAGCCCCAATGAGACGAGGCAGACATCAGCAGTACGCCGGTATGCAGTACCGCCGCTTCGCTGCAGCACAACTACCACCGGTCGGTCGCACGTAGGCTAAGAATACTGCAGGTTCGTACCCGCGTCGCCAGATTACAAGACAAGCTTGTTACCGTTAGGCTACGGGCAGGCATGTGACGAGACGATTGTGTAATGCTCTCCGGAGGTGTAGAAGTCCGGCTGACTGGGAGTCAACTGCGATGAACAGCTCGTAAACCGCAGAAAAATCTTCTGCTCATCAGTAACTAAACTAACAGAATGAAGGTAAGCCTATCCGAAAGCGCAGACTTACGTGTTAGTGGTGACTGGCCATTTGGGCGAAAGTAACAAACATGGTGTAGGCAAACAGAAAAGCAATAACTCGCAGGTGACTGGAGATTTTGTGAGCCGAAAAACGGAATCAGAATTGGTTCAACCTGGAGTGAACCAAGCACAGGTTTGTCACGAACAGTAGGAAACAGGTCGGATAGACGCAGACAGAAAGGAGTCGAGGTGGACGTGGCCGTAGACAAAGCATGTGGATTGTAACGAGCGAACCAATGGACGAGTGGACCAATGGATATAGATAGAGAGCAAAATGAAACGTGACCAATGTGAATCTGCTGCAACTAAACGAAACCCCACAATTATTTTGTGCAAAATAAATGGTGCTTCACTTCACGACTAACACACCAGATAGATACGCTGACTTGGTTTTAACTATGGGAATACTGCACGACACAGGCAATCCTAAGTTATCTGATGGTTCGATAGTGTGACATACGAGTTGCATAACTGGTATGTCTCCTTTTTAAGGGATAGCAGCTGAATAGATCTCATTCCATGCACACTCCAAGCTCGGCCAAATCAGGGACCAACGACTTGACGAAAAAACCGTGATAAAGTACTGGTAACCAAAAGGATGTAAATAGTGTGAAAGCAGACGCACATTTATGGGTAAAGTCAGGGAGGTTCACTTCTAGAACAGCTAGGTCAGCTACCAGAAATGACAATATAGAAGCAAAACGAACGAGAACGACGTGTATGTTTGTGTCAAATGATAGAATTGAATGTACCTGAAACTACCTGATGCTTCTCATTGAAATAATAGATTACCCTGAACAATAACCAATACACATGAGTGTTTGATAGAAGAGCGGACAAAAAAGTTGCTGAACTACTCCAGTTAGTGGAAGACTCCCAGACTAGAACACTTAAACGGAGCATGCAACATGTCTTACATTGTGTTCTAGAGCAACTGAAATATCGAGTAGCAGCGACTGCTGCAATGGCGATGAGGTTGCATACCCACATTATTCCATCCACGTAGAACAACTGGACAAACGAATGCACCGCATTTAGCCAAGTAAGAGAAAATATGCCTACATGCATCACTGACTTCACGGGAAGCTGATGGATAATGTGTGAAAAGGTGAAAAGTGAAATAAGCCGGAATCATCTGTGCTCACCTTGAGCATGATACGGTCCGTATCGGAGGGAGATCCCGAACAAACCTCGCCCAATTCCCGCATCCGATACACAGGCACCCGGAGATCTGGAGAGACGAGAGCAAAGTCAAATAGAGTACCACGTTTGCGGGCTTCTGGATTGACTTGCTTCACCAAAGAGGCCAATTCACGCAGTGTAGCATCCAACCTGAGGTAGAGTGGACAAAATTGCAGTCAAAATCAGTGGATAGAATATCAGCTAAGGTTCAATTCAGAGCCTCATTAGGACTGGTAACCAGAGGAAGAAAGCAAGCCACATGCGTCACAATCAGTTATATGGATATAAATAAATAAATAAACTTTTTTATTCTCGACAAGGCGAAGCACGCCTTTACACGCATGATCATGTTAGGATAACAAAATTTGAACAAAAATACAACATGCTTGCCAGAACAGTGAATGTGTGCATGGATGTGCGCGTATTTGTGCATATGGGTGGATTTGTAGCTTGTTTGTAAGTGTCGTTGTATTTGTGACTGTATAATAGCGGGAGCAATGTGAGAATGAACAATTGATGTCCGTGAATTGGATGTAATTATCCAGATATCCGCGGGGCAGTGACTTTAGTTTGTGGCGAGTCACATTCGCCACGTCACAGTGTTGATAGCCGGGCAGCTGCGGCTTTTTATAGAAAGCATTGTAACGTTTTGCTTCTTTCTTTCCCTCTGCTCTCTGCCACTGACAAACGCTTGCCAGGCGAAAACCCACCACTTCCTGGAACACTGCCGCCGAACAGGAACAGGTTAGACCAGAACCACTCAGCTGGCCCCATAAGGAGTTTGTTCGGCTAGTCGGCATGTGTGTGATCAATAAAGAAACGAGTCAGGATGCAATACAATGCCCGAGTTTTATCAACGACGGGGCTGGCTTTGATTCCCAGTCGCAGCCATTTAAAGTGGAAGTGGGCAAACTCAACGCTGTTCTATCTAGAGAAGGGAATTAAGTCATGGGAACTTAGACTCAGGTTAAACTGTCGCTGGAATGCCAGAGTATCCACCTTGGACTACACGTGAAGCATGAAGGGGTTTGTTGAGACATGCGTAAGGGGCTTACGATTAACACTCATGATCGAGCGCGTTGTCGTTGGAATCTACAATGATAACAACTGCGTGGAAAGACTGTAGGAGTAAAACTCTCCAACGCGCTGTTAGCAATCCGGCCTCGTAGCATCCCTAGTCCGTGCGCAACTGGTGTTACTCGCGTGACAGCGAAGCGTCGGTGCGGCGTCATGTCACAGTAAGTATAGTGGTTTGAAGTAAACTTGACGTGCAGTGAAAACCCCCGGAAAAGTAAGTCAATTGGAGAGAGGTTACGCATCCGGATGGGCGAATTTTAAGAGCGATAGGTACGGTGATATAAAATTATGACGCAAAGAAGTGCGACAAAACAAAGCTCTAAGTCCGAATCGGGTAATAGGAGCGAGCAAACATCCCGACGCCAGTAACACTTCGAATTTTCGATTGGGTACCATGGAAAACCCGAAAAGCGTAAGCAACTTCGCTCAGCTTTGAACCCCGTTTGTCTCGGGGACACAGCAGACACTGATTTCAAGGATTATCATCATCATTATACATTAGCTGAAGGTAACAAACTTAAACTATTGTGCCACAATACAAAAAGACAATATATATAAAAAAGCGAGACATTAAACATTATAGAACAAAACAAAACTGGCAAAATAGTGTCTAGTAACATGTTATGCCTCAAATCAGAGTAAGTGGTTGGAGGGGGAAGATGAGTGGGACAAGGAGGGATAAAAAAACACAACACAACCCCCTTGAGGTCATGTCAACGTGTGCATTTAACAAAACGTAATCGTCGTCCTTTGAGAGTAGAGAGAACAATCGAGGTCAACATTTTAGTGAGAGCCTTCATTAGATGGGACCAGGTTATTGATTGGCCTCCCCACCTCTTCTTCCATACACACCCTCGAGGTAGACGAAGCGCGACGCGGGAGTCGGTGCTGGCATGCGTAGGACAGCGCACAGCCATCGAAGCCTAGTGTCCGAATCAACGGTGCTGAGCGGCTCACTCGCTCTTCCTACCTCAAATACAAGAAGCCGTACACGCTCGTTAAAAATAAAATAAAATAAATAATGTGTCAGCTATACGCCGTAACGGCGCTTCGCTGCCGCGCGACCACCACCAGTCGCGCGCGGGCTGAGTATACCGCGAGGACGCCCACCCCTACGCGGATTCGAACCGGTGACCTTATGGTTGCAAAGCAAACGTGCAGACCACTCGGCCACCGGCCGCTCGTTGCTTACGCGGCGCTCCCACCAAACATGAGATAAGCTGTGAAGGCAGCGATGATTCATGAATTCAAGGAAATCAACAATGAGAATGAGCGGCGTCTGCCGGTGGTCCGATACAGTATCAATAACGGAGGGAGAATTACATGAGATCTTTCGTCAGGAGAATCAGGTAAATTGCAGACATTGGGTGCGAAGTAAGTGGTTGTCTCTAATTCATTAGGCTTTGCCGAATAAACCCGAAAGTGAAGGAAGGAATGCAAGAACAGACAGTACATGCGATTTGACTTATTTCAGGCTGGTTACCACTGCCTAGCACTCGAACCACGCACATCATCATTAAGAGCACGCTGGCACCGTAGCCTAGAGATAACGAGCTTGTCGCGTACTCTTGCGGCGCGGGTTCGAATCGGTGTAGGAGTGGGCGTGCTTACAATACACTCAGCCCGTGTGCGACTGGTAGTGGTCGCACGGTAGCGAAGCGACGTTACGGCGTACAGCTGACACATTGTAATTTCGGCTGCTTTGCCGCACTACCTCCTCGTGGTGCCAGCTGGGTGATTTGGGATTATCCCGTTCCAGCGAAAGATTCGGCGGCAGTGTTCCAGGATGTGGTGAGTTTTTATCTGACAAGCGTTCTCGCTATGAAAAGCCACATATGTCCGTTCAACAACACTGCGAAGTGGCGGATGTGACTCGTCACTAAATAACGTCACTGACCCCTTGCTTCGTCTCGCTAAATCAATGTAATCCTACATCATCATCATCATCAACAGCAGTACATCAGCCATTTGAACTGATGCTTCGCTGCCATACAAACATGAGGACCTATGAAATAAAGAATAATAAGAGGGAGAGAAGGGGGACTTACCTGAAAACCTTAATGCCCTAAGCAAACATTAAGGGTCAAGGCGCCTACACCTTGTGTAGACAACATTCCGTCACAAACAGCTGGCTATCGTGCAAAGATAAGGCGGCATCGGCGAGACAGCTTCCTTGCGGCTTTCACTGCCACGCGTCATAATCAGCCATTACAACGCAGATAACTCAGCACCAAACACAATTTAAACAGACAATCCGATTAGGAGACGGCAGCAGACGCGCCACTGGTGTCGGTTGCGAGCCATGTCCAGTAAAGTCTCGAGCCAAGCACAAGGTGAGTCACGTGGACTCCAACCCGGAAGGCGAGACGGACCAACGGCACCCAGTTTGGTCGTCATTGACTTCATTTCCCGCTGTCAAGTCAACTTCTGTCCACCTCGAGCCTTGCGCCATCCTACACCTGGTAGACTGAACAAGGCCGTCCTAGGTAAGCGGTGACCAGGCATGCGTAGCACGTGCCCGAGCCAACGCAACTTATTCAGTGCTATCTGTTGTTCTAGGAAGCTAGCATGATTATCACCACCTAGTACTCGCCTACGCACATCATCGTTGCGGACACGCTGGTGCCATCCGACACCAGTAATGCTTCGCAAACAACGAAGATCAAAGACTTGAAGGCGCCTCAGATCTTCAGACCGAAGGGGCCAAGTCTCACTACCACAGAGCAGAACGGCTCCTACTGTGGCCTTGTATACACGGCCTTTCAGACGGAGGGAAACTCCCTTCTGTGGCCAAAGATGACGCAGGTTCAAGAAGGTACCTCTGGCCTTTGCAATGCGTGAGCTCACGTCAGTTTCTATGCGCCCATCATTGCTGATGCAGCTGCCAAGATAAGTGAATTGATCAACCACATCGAGTTCCTCGTTAGCAAGCGTCAAGGGGTCATCGAGTGGCTGGTGGTCCTGCAGCAACACTTTGCACTTTGAAGGTGCGAAATGCATACCAAATAATGGGACCACTCTGGGTAGGCTATTCAGGGTTGATTGTGCCGCCTTAACATTGTCGAAAAGCAAGACGATATCGTCCGCATAATCTAGATCAACTAACCTTTCACCAGGCAGCACTTCAACGCCTACATCATGAGATTCCGCAAGGGAACACTCCATGATAGAATCCACGACGAAATTGAACAAAAACAGGGAAATCGGACAACCCTGACGAACGCCACATGTAGTTGAAAAGCTATCCGATAGGGCACCGTAGACCCTGACGCGCCCTGTAGTGTTCGAGTATAGAGCACGAAAGATGTTCACATATTTCGTGGGAACACCTTTCCGCGCAAGTATTTCGAACAGAATCGATCGATCGACTGAATCGAACGCACTCTTGAAATCGAGCTTAAAATCGAGCTATTGTCGCTCTGCGGTATGCGTGACGCTGCTCTAGCACCTGCCGCAAAGTGAATATATGGTCTATACAGCCACATCCTGGGAGAAAACCGGCCTGCTCTTCCCTAATCCGAGATTCCCGTTCTGCAGTGAGGCGACGAACGATAATCGAGGCCAGTAAGTTTGTCACAACTGGCGTTAGGCTAATACCCCTGTGGTTCGCACAGTCTGTGCGACTGCCCTTTTTGTATATTGCCACTATAATCGATTCGCTCCAATTAGCCGGCACACTCTTCGTTCCAGATACGTTCGAATAGGGAAGTCAGTGCCCTGCAGAGGACCTCACCTCCATCCTTAAATAGTGCAGGTGGGAGGGAATCCGGGCCAGCGGCACGAAAACGATTGAGGGCTGTGATCGCGTTTCGGACCTCGGCCTCCGACGGAGGCTCTAAACTAACCGTCCATGGCTTCTCCTGCATCACCTGAGTAGGAAGAGGTCCGGGAGCAGGGGGCCAGTTGAATTGTTCTTGAAAGTGTTCAGCCCAACGAGCCATACGGTGCTCCTTATTGTGCATCAGCGCACCCGCGCTGCCTCTGATTGTCTCACTGACGCCTGGTTTTCTGGGACCAGTGGTGCGGATTAGCTGGAAGAGCTTCCGGTAATTGCCTACTGCTCCTGCCTCCTC